TCTTAAAATACTAAGTGAAGTATTGACAAAGAAGGAAAGAGAAAAACGGTATATATTATTGGGACACAATAAATTAAAAACTCAGATAAATATCTTTACACTTTCAATTATTTATATTTCTAAAATAGATGCGATATTCTAATAAGAATTCTATTAAGAATTTTATTTTAAATTTATGGAGAGATTGGAGGATATAGTTTAGAAATTTTATTCAAAAAGATTTAAGATAGCCTATCGTCAAAAAATTTTTTGACGTGACAGCAAATAACATGTACAACATAAAGATTAATTACAACACGAGATCTAACATATATCTTACTTCCTTAGGTAATATTATGACATTATCATATATTACTGGTTTGACTATTGGATCTCTATTGGCATACATGATGGATGCCTGTCTTGGACCACCTGTGCAAATCAAAGACGTATGTTTGAAGACGGCAAAAGTTCAAGTTGGTCAAACTTCTACAACTGTATTTGCTAATGTAACGGCCAGTATTCTAACGACCGTAGTATCTTCCACTTTACCTATCGTTGAAAAAACAACAGCGATATCAAAACCGAAGACTACCGATGTATTAACTACAATCCTAATGTCAACATTATTGTCGAATAGCACCGCAAGCTTACTGAGCGACAGAGGATTGTCGGATGCGTCAACGACGGCCTTACCAAAGATCTTAGCTAATGTTACCTCTGCGAGCAACGCGATCTTGCAACATTAGGACGCATATATTTGTGTACTGTGTTAAATCTGGTGCTTTCACATAAATATATAGGAAGGGGGGACGGGAGAGAGAGAGAGAGAGAGAGAGAGAGAGAGAGGGAGGGAGGGAGTGTGTGTGGTGCGCGTGCGCGCGCACGCGTGTGAGACTGAGTAAGTGTATGTGTGTCGAAGAAGATACAAAGAAGTTGAAAAATTGCTATAAGGCTGAATATTTAAGTGAATTGGTTAAACTTTTAAATTGGTATACAAATCACGGAATTTGATTTTATTTTCTATTATTATCAATAGTAAGATTCAATATTTATATTGCTGTTCCTGTTATGTGTCGTTTTAAATCGATCGTTTTTATTCCGATATGTATGTATATTGCTAGTATATATAGAAAATCTATTCACGTTACATTTGCATACAAAGGTTATCAATACATATTATATACGTGCATATATGTGCAGAGTGAACTATTTTAATTTAACATCCATCGATTTTCTCAAAATCTTTAAGTTTAAGACGAAAATGTTACAGACAAAAGTTATTGTTCAATTACTAGAAAGAAAAAAGATCCTGAAAAGATATTATTAAGGTCAGGTCAAAGTTAACTAAAATTTTTTTAATGGAATTATGTAGGTTTTTTTTACCTAATATATAATTATTTTAATTATTTTGATACATATACATATATATATATATATATATATATATATATATATATATATATATATTGAGGTAGAGGTATCAAAAAACTAATAGTTTACGGGATATTTAATATTTTATATCAATATGTATATGCTAGAATAAAATATGAAGAATATCTTTTCAAGATAAATCAAGATCATCATCTTTTTTCCCCCTAATAATAATTGAACAACTTTTGTGTATGTGTGTGTAAATTGAGCAAAGAATGTTTTGAAACCATACATAACACGAACCAAAAAATATAAATGTAGCAAATCAGGTTTAGCATAATAACAGAAATAAAAGAAAATTAGCAATAAGTACTAATAAAAGTATCATAATTCGTTGGATATGTTATAAATAATCGGTATACAAATTTAAAGTGCTTTCGTTATTGCAAATTGCATATTATACTAACGTTTGTCGCAAATAAAAATTGCATTTTTATTTAATAGAGACTCTTATTAAAATATTATTTTTATCAGTATTTATTTTTATGTATAAACTGTATAATATATTTAGTTTATCCGAAATTGTTCTGAGATATCGCCAGATTAAACACACGCACAAAGAAATTGAGATAATTGTAAAAAATTACGCATCTTAAACAATTTGCGACAGATACGTGGAATTGTGTTTTCTTTCTGTTAAAGATATTACATGCCGTTTATTTCACATTAGCAAATCGCTTTTCTGAATACTTTTAAAAGTCTACAAGAGCGAAATTAATTTTTTTAATAAGAAATATTGTTCTCATTCTTGTTTTTATTTCGTTGTTACTGTTTCAATGTTACTGTTTCAATAACATACTGTTAGACTATTGATGGTTGACAATTAGGAAATTTTTGCTGATAAAGTTATCGCACGAGTATATTCTGTCAAATTGTTATATGCATCTCCATGTGTCAATAGTTGATACGTAAATATAAAATACGTATATTTATATGGTACACTAGACGTCATAATTATTTTACATTCACTGGATGCATTCTCTAGATGCATTTTCAGAAAAAAGTAGTCATGTTTAACAATATTATATTATACCTACCCATAATAAAGAAATGGACAATACCAAGCAATAAATTGACAAATAGTATTTGATATATGAAAGATTGCTTTAACTTTTATTTCATGGATATACTTTTAGATCCAAGAATTTATTCCTTAATTTATCGTTAACTTCAATAAGTTACAATGATTTCATCCATGAAATAAAAATAAAAATAATCTTATATGTTCTTTAGATGTGTGCAAATTTTTTGTACATACATAAAATACACGAAAAACGAAATGAAAACGTAAAATTAATTCACAAATATATTTTCCTTTAATTTGACCAAAATACATATAATCTACTTATGCATAAAAATTAAATGCTGTCATTTATAGATCATTTGTGATGCATATGAATATCTATAAGCACAATACGTTATTACGTAGCACTCATCTAGTGAATGTGAATGTGATTTAAGATATTTATGATACGTCCAGATTTAACGAAAGAGAAAAATAATTTTCTCACACACAACGTCCCCTCTTTTATCCTTCCAGCCCCTTTACTCTGTAACTCATTATGCAATCCTTATGTGCTCATAACGACACATTTGTGCAGATTTTTATATAGTAAAAAAAATATAAGAAAGCTGTGCAACTATTATTATGAACGCATAACAACTGCATAATGAGTTACAGAATATAGACTTAGCTTCGTTATTCGCGTTATCTGCTCAAGACATATCCGGTGTTATGTAGGAGATTGTAATCAAAGTTTGTAAAGATAAAACGTAGTTAGTAATACGATGGAAAAAAATGTATAATATACTTGATCATATATTGACTGATCAAATATCTTTCTCGATTTCTTTTTTTCTTAATTTATAACAGAGGCGTCTGCGTAAGGAAATATTTTATGAGAATCAATACCTTCAATATAACTTCTCTAAGATTAATCACTCCAATTATGGAAGACAAATCGTAGTAATGATTTATTTCCAGTAAACGAGAATAGATTAAAATGGATTGGAATTTTTAATCCATCCGAATGCGGATATAAAATTATTTTAAATGGAAAAATTTTTTTAATTCAATTGGATTTTTAAAAAACTGCATTTCCTATCCAGAATTTTGAATTGAGCAGTATCCACTTTTAAAAACTCAATTTATTTTTGTAATAAAAGACATAGAAAATGTGCTTGATGCAATTCCTCTAAACGAATAAAAAAAAAATTCAGATTTTCACAAGTACGTATTCATGAACGTTGAAATAAATCTTTTTACAATCCATTTTAATTGATTTTCGTTTACTAAATTGTATATCCGCGTTATTTATACTATTAATATATATAATTGTCAACTTACCAATCCTTTCTGGAAATTCATATGTATATAATTATATACAGAGTGAATTGAAATAGCTACGCTGATGTATTCCTTTTCCATTTGTTTCAAAGTTCAGTTTGCAAAGTGAAAAACACCCTTCCCAAGTAGCACACATCAGGCTAGATTCTTTAGGACTTCAGCACCGAAAATACTATTAAAGATCGTCAACTCTAGGTACATTTTTGTTCTTACAAAAAAGACGTAATTAAAGAACACTAACATTATCAACAATTAATATAATTTTGCGATTATTAACATAAATAATTGGATAATATATTATTAAATTCATGATTTTTTATTATATCATTACAATGCTTTATAAATCAGCATACTATTTTTATATAAGATTTTTGGATCCTTTTGGAGATATATAAATAATTTAATATCAATTTTATAATAAAGATTCTTTTCTTTCATTCTTCGTAATTTTAAGGAAGTTACGTTTGAGCAATTTAACAATATTCATAGTAATGGGAAAAAAAATACATATTATTTTTTATTATTGTTGCATATTTTTTTTCATCTATTACATTAGTACTTTTTATTTTTAATTGATTTAAAATACATTCGCACTTACCTTTTAAAGTCTTTTTACTATTATTTATAGCAAAAGTTTTTGCATTATGTGTCATTTCACTCTTTGTCGAATTAATACAAAAATCATATTGACGTTTTTGAAAAATAATAAAATATAGCAGGTAAGTAGAGTAAAATATAATTTAAAAGAGTACATTGTGTGTAAATATATATGAGAAAGGGAATGTGTACATTATTTGTTATATATTTTTTATTCTAATAACGTCATATTTGTGTACATTTTATCAGATATGATACGGCATAACAGCTTAACATTGATTCCAAATAAATATATCGATTGATACACTTTATAATATACTGTTCTGTAATTCAGAATCTAATTCTTGAGAAACGTATTACTTATACATATGATCAAATGTTGCAAAGAGGTTATGCCGCATATAATTAATATATACAAACAATATATGTGTATACATACATATATAGATAAACAATACATATATGGATGATAAATGAAGTACTCTCTCTCTCTCTCTGTGTGTGTGTGTGTGTGTGTGTGTGTGTGTGTGTGTGTGTG